AGACAAAACTAAGCACTGAAGAGCAGTAAAATTGACCAGGAAAGGTAGCTAACAGTGTTCCTGTTTCTCAATCACATGCAAGAAAGCCAAGTGTTACCGTCCATGCTAACGATCGTATCTTAACCTTTCACGAAAATGTTCAAATTCCTCTTTTTTTCAGTGAAAAATGCTCAAAAACAGGCCATGTGAAAGTATTGCCAAAGGCAGAAGTTTTACTTCAATGGTCACACCATAGGATTTCCTCTAAAGCCTCAAAAAGCTGGGAACTACGAACTAAATAAATAGCACCATGTGAAAGTACTACTGAAGAGGTTTCATTTGAATAGTCTCACCATAGCATAGTCATCCACATACTCAGAAGTAAATAATAAACAGTACTACTTTAAATTAGTTAAACGTGAAAGTACCGACAGCGAGGTTTTTTATTTCAATGTTCACACCATAGGATTTTCTCTGCAGACTTAAAAGTTTACTGAAAGTTAAAAACACCCTACAAGACTTCTACACCTAGTCCGGGAGTGATATGGTTATGCATGATACCCCCAGGGCATACCCCTGGGAATTTGTATTTATTTCTTTCTTGGTGGACTATCCCTCCCCACCCCCGGGGGCTCCTGATCGACCTCACATACGTTGTTTTGAGTACAACTTAAAGAGGGCAAAATTAATTTCCCTACAATAGTAAAACGAGACGTTTTGGACTAGAACTTTTATAAACATTGCCATTAGCAAAACTGAGACGTTTTTGAGTATAACTTTTCAGTAAACGTTTTCAAGAATTTATTGAAAGAAGGACAATACATGTATAATAAATATAGTGTAAACATGAATTCTGAAAATGAAAAGAAAACCAAAGAAAACAACTTAAGCGCTTTCTAGAAAGAAAGGCCACCGGACAGAAAAGAATAGGAAAGTTTCTTAAGAAGCCTGTTTTTGATTTGCCCCGCCCCCTACCCCCGGGACAGGAACGCTGTAAACAATTCCCCTTCCACGGGCCAGAAGAGCTAGCCATATCCTTGGGGTTGCCCTGGGGAATTGTAGCAGGTCATATTGAATCATACATTATCATGATTGCGCAAACTCTACCGCAAAGACAAAGCTTTTGACAGGGTGAGATATGCTGAAATTGTACGGCTTAATGTATGTCTTGGACAAGTTCAATAACATAAACATATAATAACAAAAAATAACAACAATAACCAAAAAACAATAACAAAATTATTCTTTGCGAAATAACCTGTCAGAATTGATACAACTTATAATTTGCACTTGTTGGGCACTATTCCAGATACCTGTAAGAGTCGTAGGACAGAGCCAGGTAGAAAATTAGTAGATTAAAAAAGAGAAATAACTGCTTAGAAACGGATGAACATCCGCCGGAAAATAAGCATGATGTAGGAAGAGATGGTGGACAAGAGGATCCTTTATGATTTAATACACCATCTTAGTGGAGTCAGCAGGAAAAGAAATTCTTGCAGCTTCTTCGCTGAGATGGTGTAAATTTTGTCCTGGACTGAATAAAATTTGTAGGTAGTCTTCCAATCTTTTGAAACGGAATATAAAAGCACCCAGCAGAGACAAATATGCTCACTCAAGTTTGTTATTCTTTTTCTCATAATCCTATCTCCAAATAATTTCATCGCGAAAAACAAGTTATGTCTGTGCAGTGTATTTTTTTTTAAGTACTCATCCATTAATCTAAAACTATCGTTTTAAATCGTTTATCTTCATTTTTGGTTAAGTGTCTAGAAAGAGCACATTGCTATTACTTACCTATAATCAATTGTCTTCTTAATTCTCCTTCTGCATCAGCATCTCTTCAAAAGCTAAACGTCGTCTAAATCGGTACCAAACCAAGAATGAAACTTCACTACTTTATCAGTCAGTTGTGTTGTCTTGACTTAATCCATACTTGGCCTGGGGTTTGCATGTAAAATTGCGTTTTCCTGGCAACAGTAGCCAATTGATACAAAGCCAGTTCAGTTTAATAGTTTTCTGCGATAACATTCGACACTTCGGTTCCACTAAAAGAAATGTTGGTCGGGCACCAAGGGCACACACAGCACACGGAGCACGAAATGTTCTCAATAAATTATGCAATCATATGCACTATCAGGAAAGAAACAGTTCTCTGCGAACAGGGTCCCTGTGTGCATGGTACGTTTTGTCTTACGGTCACATTTCAAAAGGACATCTGACAGCTCTCAGTTGATTAAGCCATTTTCGAGTTCCAGAAACTCTCACTTTCAAAACGAGGTTAAACGCAAAACTTTTCTTGTGAAAATGAGTTTTATTTGCATGAGAATAGACCTTATTCACGATACCCGCCATCTCACGTGGTTTCTCACGCGTACCTAATCCGGGTGCTTCAGGACTTTTTCCTAACCTTTGCCTTGCCCAGTCCCTAAGCCTCATTATTTGGCGCGGTGTACGCGTTTCGTATCACGTGGTCCGAGCTAGTTTTTGAGGCGTCTCCCAGCCTTTCGTCTCGGAGGCATTATGACCAAGAAGGCCTAGGAAGAAGACCGTACAAGAACTTGGAAAATTTCTGCCTAATGATTAATAATCTCCGCATAACACTGCATAATAATAATTCATTCCAAAGGGACCGTACATATTTCAAGGGGGGGGGGGGGGGGGGGTAGTTATGGAGATGAATAAACGGAAAGAAGAAAAAAAATATGTGAGAAAGTGTTGATATATTTTCACACTATTTAAAACTAAGTTCAGTAAAATCGATAAAGATAATAGCTGGAGTGGAAGGGGGTGATGGTGGGGGGGGGGGGGGGGGGGGGGGAGGGCATGCGAAAAAATATTGGGTGTGAAGGAGGGTCGCCCAAAAATTCCTTCAAGTTTTGCAGTGATGGCATCTGTCAGTAACGCAGAGTCTACCAAAAACCTGCCAGAATGCCAAAAGCATGCGTTTCTAACGTTCAGAAAGTTCAGATTTCCCACGGAAGCATTCCCCCGGACCCCAGGTATCGGTTTCTTAGTGTTACCCATTCTTTTGTACGGCGTACGTAGTATAAGTGTGTTGTTAATTCCAGGTAGCGTTTGCCTACCGCTTTGTGAATTGGTTAGCAAGGAATGATGTTCTGAGTAGCGGACCAGTGTAGTGACTGTCGTGTAGTATCAATGTGTTATATTTGTTCAATCTCCGTGCAGGCGGAGGCAGGGCAGAGCGTTTTAAAGCAATTGAGCTAATCAAATCTGACATTAGGGGTGACCGTTCCGACACTTATCATACATTTGCGCGCCATCATATGTACAAACCAAATAAAAAAAACATGGGCGTCTCTACATTGTATACCATCCAGTGTAGTAAATCTGGTAAATATCTTGTATAAAACAACTAAGTTTGCTATTTTTGAAGCTCCAAACGTTTTTCTCGCCGTTCTTGTTGTTAAAAACACTCCTTTGCAACTTCAGCTATGCAGACAATGTCTGCTCTCTTCTTATGGCCATTCAGTCAAAACGCCAGTTTTGGGATACAAGGGGGCCACCTAAAAAATTTCGAATGAAGAGGGGGGTCATCAAATACAACAGGAGCTACCTGTCAAATTCCACCAGCCCTCCTTCCCCATAAATAATGAATGGTCCCTAACTATGAATAAACTAACCTCTGCCTAATCTTTCCTTATCTCCGCCCAATAGTAACCTATCGCTGCCTAATCCACCTTTTCGCTGTCTAATCATTTTAATCATAACTTAATTGTTGTTGCTTAATCTTTCCTAATCTCTGCCTAATCATTCCTAATCTTTAGCTCATCGTTAATAATCTCTGCCTGATCATTCCTTAACTTTGCAAATTCGCATTCCTAATTTCTGGCTGATCATTCCTTGTCTCTGCCTGGTGTTATTCCCACGTCATGTATTATGGCGCTGTACGTGTTGCATTCACCTGTCATTTTTACACTTTATATAACTCAATAGACACCTGGCAAAATGATATATTGTACTGAATCTATTAGTGTAACTTCTTTATTTGTCTGCTCTTTTAAATAACAGGAGAAAGGTCGGGTGTGATTGACTGCCAAAGAATGGTTAAACACACCACAAATTGTCTTGATGATATTTTTTGACAAAAATGTGCTCTCCTTAAATAAATTTCCTCGTGGATACCTCGCCAATCAAAATATCCCGCAAAAGGTCAAAATGTCTGGACCCAAGGACACCGAAAGGGGAGTTTGCACAATTTTAGCTTGTCTGGACTAGTTGAATAGACTAGTCAGTATTTACAGTAATAAAGAGTATGTCATACAGAGTGTTTTTACATGACGTCACGGCGGCCATATTGGTGTCCCAAAACAATGAAACGGCGGCCATGTTGGTGTCCCAAACCAATCCTGTGGGAGTTGAATTCCTTTCATATGTAAACGCTTTAGATGCTGGCCACGTGAGTGAAAACACTCTATATCAAACAGGGCATGCAGTGTTTCATCCGTGAAATTTCCCCGTGGATACCTCACAAATCAAAATATCTCACACATCGTCAGATGTCTGGATCCGCGGTCACTGAAAGGGGAGTTTGCACAATTTTAGCTTGCCTGGACTAGTTGAATAGACTAGTCAATGTGAAGAATATGTAATATATCGAACAGGGGATGCAGTGTTTTCATCCGATATCCAGATCTTCAGAAGTGGGTGATTCTTGATGCTGCGGAGGGAAATCTTTTTTGGTTCGCTTTTGAGTGGTGTGGTGTGCCTCTTGTTCAGTGTCTTGTATAACGTCGTTTGGTGATCGCAACTGTATACAAAGCCAAGAAACCACCGAAAAACGAGGCGAAGTCCATATTTTTTGTAGGAGGGGAGAAGGTGGCTACTTGGCTGAAAAACGGTGTCAAGTGTTTAACACTTCTTTTTAAGTGATGAAGTTGGCTAAATGTTAAGGATTCCTTTGTTTTCTACTCGAAATATAACTGAGTTTGAGAAGCTTGAGAACGAAATGTGAGAGCGACATCAAAAGCTGGGAGAGGTTAGAATTTGAGAAGTCCAGTATCTTACAACTTATCGATTCTTAGAAATTTCACAATTTTATCGGCATAATGATTCATACTAAAGTACATTCTGTCCATCCAACCAATGTTGACATTAGCTAAACTCTTGTCGTCCCCACCCCAGTTAGCAGCCTTTTCCACCTCCTTGATCATCAAGTCTCGTCTGTCAGGCCTTGTCTTTGGGACAGATGGTGGTACATTCATGGCACGCATGATTTCTTCATGAAAATATAACAGCGATGGTAAATAGGTCTGTTTGGTCACAGCGGAGGAGGGAGTGTCCAATGGACCATCTAAAAATGAGGAAAAACAGACAAAACAATGGGACGGTGTTTCTTGGTGTTGAGGAAACTGTTCTTGGTTCTCGTTTGTTTTATGGTGTGGATATTATCTAGTGGTTTCGGCAAGTGTTCGTTATTTGTGTTACCAGCCAATGTATGAAAAGATCAAAACGTGGACTATTCGTTTTCCCGCCAAAGAAAACCTTAATATGGAGAAGGCATTGTTCAATTGGCCAATCGTGTTGCAGTATGACGTCAAAGCGAAGTATCGATTGATTTCTAGAAAGTTATTGGGCGTGACGTTTTTTCACCCGAACGTTCGCTTAACCAACCAAAAGCCACGCGCGTTTCTATCCGTTCGATAAAACAATCAAATCGCTCTCTTTCCGTTCGTTTGTTGTTTTTGTTTTGTACGCGCATTTTAATTTCTAGGTCATACGAAAATCGCTTTAAATCTTTTACAGTACGTCGTCTGGAGATCGCACCCGTCCACAACACCAAGAAACTATCTAAAATAATAATAGACGACAACAATATCATTTTTTTAAAAAGTGTAATTCATTTATGCATGGATGTTAACAATGCCATACCTTTAACAGCAGTTCGACTTTTCCAGTCTCTTCTTTCCCATGGTGGTTTAGGAATAATGCGACCAGTGCGATCCGATACCCTCACCTTGTCGCCTTTCTCTGTGTATCGGTAAGACACCTCAGTGGGTTTTCTGCAGAGACATTTGGTAAGTACAAACATTGTTTAAATAAATAATGTTCTTTCCCGGGAAAGTAGGCAGGTAGCTTACAATAACACTACTATGCACTCACACAGTAAACATTTCACTAGCATTCACTGATGCACTGCAACTCACACTACTACTAATGACCAAGGTTACACATTTATTGAGGTTTGCTATAAAAGGCTGTAGCTGAGCTGCCTTTAGATTTCATGTTAAGACAGAAAGTCTTTTTCAAGAGCCCCACCCTTTGTGGAAAGGTATAGAGGGTACAGTGGATTTACTCCCTCAACATTCTCAATTTAACTGCCATCCGGTTGGCTCAATTGGATAAGTACTGGTCTACAGAGCAGGAGGCTGCTGGTTCAAATCCTGGTTGGACCAGCACTCAGGGTCTTAAAAGGGTGAGGTTGACGAGAAAGTTCTGCATTTGTAAAGACATCTGCAAACAGTTAGACTCTCTAGTCTTCTCAGATATAGCCTGCGAGGCAGGTGTTCGAAAGGGAAGGGGAAGGGAATTAGGGCACGAGATCACACGTGTCCAAATTCCCCCTACCCCTTCCACTTTTAACGCCTGCCAAGCAGGCTATCTCGGATAAGGATGATAAACTGTAGGCCCTGTCTCACAACCCTTGCACACATTAATTTTGTGGGATGTTAAAGAATCCAGGCACTGTTCGTTAAGAGTTGGGGACTTTGTCCCTGGTGTGGTGGACTAGCTCTCATGGGGGAAGGGACTGTTATGGGCCTGCAGTAATTGGCGCCACATGCTGTTGTGGTGACCCTGCCAATAGTTGGTGAAACCTAAGTAAACAATTATTGCCATGACTGTTCCTGGCATGAGCCCTTCTACGTTCTCTGCCCTTTTTAACGAGTAGTATGTGAAATCTTAATGAGTGACGAATGAAGTGAAGGTAACAGAATCAAGGACAACTTAAGACAACTTATTTATAAATAATTATTATTCAACACCTACCCATCAGAGGGATCTAACAGGGACAATTCTGTAACTTGGATTGGAGCTTCACTTGGAACCAGGCCTCCTTTAAAATCACCATATGGTTTTAAATAGCGAAAATGCTGAGGAAAGACAATAGTAGATTGTTAAGTCTAGCAACACAGAAAATAATCAGGGAGACTCAATAACACAATTATTTCAGCTAGACTAGACTACACTTAAATAAAAATCAATAAAAAAAATTTTAGAGGCAGCACATCCATGTTGTGGTTTTTCATCTACCTCATTCCTGGTCGAAAGGGAATTTACAAATTTTGGTTTATGAGGAGAGGGGAAAACTGGAGTACCAGGAAAAAACCTCTCGGAGCAAAGGAGAGAACCAACCACAAACTCAACCCACATAATTATGGCATCAATGTACATTGGTGGAAGGTCACTGCTATCACCACTCAGTAACTCTGTAACCAGCTGTACTAAAATACAGAAATAGAGTCACTTGAAATATTTTGGCATATAATAAGCCAAATTGGACCTATTTGCAAACCCTTCCAGTAATTCTGAAGGGTTTGACAAAAAAATGGAAAATCCGAACAAGAGGGGGGTTAACAATATTTATTGTGGAATTCCAAGGGCATGGGGGGATAATGTATTTTGGAAGTTCCGAAGGCAACAGGGGGTTCAAATATGGAAGCTGTCTGTGGTATGGTATGGATATTTTCTGGAATCGCCCACTGGGGCTTATAGGGTTAAAAAAGAACATAAGGACAAAGCCTTTAAGTTTTAGCTGACTGTAAAGCCTTTGTAAATGCACCAAATATCACTTGTCTCAAAATGTGTTTACTACGTGATCGAAACAATCACATGAAAACACCTCTTGGATGATTCCAAACAGTAAGGCAGTTGCCTTTGTTTGGATAGAACTGAAGTCTTAAAATAGCTTCCTGGTAGTTCCAAATAAACCTCTGTATTACCTGTGGATCATCTAAAGAAACTAGTCGACAGCAATACTGCTGTTAGCAGCAAAAGTATTGTGCAGGTTCAAAGCCATGGTTTAGAAAACTTTGAATTTTCAGGACCAAATATTCACACACAATAGTTTCACATTCAGCCCTTCAATAATGATGACCCCCACAATATAATTATTGCGGAAACCAACCTCAAGACCTCACACATCCCATTTGGATACAAGTTTACTTACAGTGTTAAGTCCTTCAACAAAAACCCAGTTCTTGTTTCGAACAACCTCCGTTACTGTTCCAGTCTTTCCTTTATCTTTTCCAGAGAGAAGCATCACCTTAAACAAAGACAAAATAAAGCAACTTTTACTGTGAAACTCACAAAACCGAGAACACCAGAAATATTTATGGAATGTTATTGTGTTGCCCGAAATAAGCCAATAAGGCACAAGATAACAAAAGTGTAAACAGCAATGGTAATTAGTTTTTGGTTTTGAGGTTTGCTCACGTGTCCTGAACTTTACTGTGATTGGCCAGTACACAATCAACATTCCCCAAATTTTTCAGGTGTTCACGGTTTTCTGAGTTTGACAATAACATTATAAGGGCAATTTTAATGGTATATCTATTTCAAGCTAAACCAGGTGCCTTGAGTAAATAAATAAATAAATAAATAAATTCATGGATTAATCGCATACTAGATTAATCACATACATGGAGAGGAAGTATTTGGAAAATAAATGAATAATTGGATAAACCTGTTAACACTTCAAAGGTAAGCCACCAGGACCTGCAAATACAGCTGTCTCTCTCCTCATTCCTCATCACTAAGCACACCCAAAACCATATAAACTCTTTAAAATATTTTTCAGTTTTTCTGTTAAATTGAAAAATTCATCATGCATCTACTACTTGGATGGAACTACAATTCAAAAATCACCATGTTTGCCCATTTTCAGGAATATAACAGAAACCGTGAAAAAGTTAAGAGCTTATCTGGTTTTGGGGGATGCAGTCACAAAATTACAGACGGTTGTATGGATCTTTAACCATGTTTCAAGAGTCATAACTTGATCCCTGTTCAACCTTAGAGCACCAAACATGGTCAAATAACCAATTTCAACATGACCTTTTATACGGTGGTGTCAGTATATTGATTAGCTTAAATTTGAAAATTGCCCCAGTTCCCTACGCAACTTCGAAATGGCCAACTGATTGCTAAACAACCTAGATGCTATGGTATTAAAAAATATCAAGCTTTAAAATGCTCTCCTCTAATGAACTACAAGTCACATTTACAAAGCAATTGGGTTATAGACAGACATTCAAAGGACGCTGCATAATAACATATTTAAATCATCCTTCTACCAAATACATGATAAATACCCAAAATCAGTGTCAGATCTGGATATATTTAAAGAACACATGCTGTTTACAGTTAAACATTGTATTGTGAGATTGCGTAAACCTCGACGGTATGGGGATATTAAAAGCAGATACCTAAGATAACAGCCGCTATAAAAATTTATCATATTTACTTTCAAGTGATTTTGAGCAGGCATATCCTATATTCAACAGGAATACACGTGAACTGAATAAATTGTTTGTTGTATAAGGTTCTGTTAAACTTACACGTTTTTCCTCCACTGAATAGAAACTGTACTGAGCTGTATCTTGGTCCACTACATAGAAGCTATATCATTGTTCAATTTTTAAAGCGCAAAATTCTGTGAAAGAGTTCTCACTGGAGCAATATGTAAAAGGTTTTCAAAAGTTTCACACCGGTGAAGATGTGTCACCTGCCACCCCTTGCAACTTTTACTTAGAAGAACTCAAAACTTCATAATAATAGACCAGTTCCCAGTTGCTCAAAAGGTGGATAATGCTATCCACTGGATAAATCTGTATTCACTGGATAATGGAACTGGTTTCCCTAACACTTCTCAGTTGGATAGTGATTTATCCCATGGAGGGCGCTACCTAATGTTTGAATGACCAGGGCCAGGAGAAACAAATTTACATCTGGAACCCCATGATTACCAGTTTAATTAAGTAAACATTGATTCACCTCATCAGTATGGAATTTTTGGGGCCGAATCGCAGACGTCTCTCCCGCAAAATGCCTCTAGCAGGGAGGAGTGAGAAGAGACAGTTGTATTCACTGGCTACTTCCTCAAGAGGGTGAATTGAGGAAAGTCTTTGAGTGGACCATTTTACAGTTGTGAGCCTAGTATCCTAGCCTTTGAGTGAACGTGAAGCTGAGGTTGATCTTGTTTTGATACAAACCTCCTTCCTTTTCTTATGGAAATTATGCTTAAAAAATACTAGCTTACATAAGAACGACATGATTCACAAAATAAAGCAGAAAGGGTTGTATCAAAAAAGGTCCACTCCAGCCTCGTTACCACCTGTAACTGTAACTATCTTACGTTTGTAAAAGAAACTGGGTCAAATTTGTCCCCCCAAAACAGTCCCACAGTGACAACACCTCAGTGTCAAGCACAACCAAAGGCCAAGGAAAAAAAATTCTCCTAGTCCGCCACCATCATAACATTACGTCTGGAGTATTTAGCAGATTTTCAAACGAGCAGATTCAGTTTGAAAACGCAGAAAATATCAATATAACGTCAAATGCCTGCCTCATACATTTAAAACATAGAAATACATTTTTCACATGGCACCCTCTTTCTTACCGTGTCTCCTCGCACTATTTTCCACTCTTTTAGCGGAACAATAGGTTGACGTTTGTTCCCACGCCGTTGACGAGGAAACCGTCGCGGTAAAATATTGTTTAATCCGAACGGTTTCCACGGAATAGAAGGCATATTTTTCTCGTTTTTCCACAACGTTATCCAATATGGCGCCGAGCGGGACGTAGTCTGGAACCGGGGACTGGAACTAGACGTGACGAAGACGTCACGACGTGTGTGACAACTCGCGTGACAGGAATGACTTCTCTCCCTCTCTTTTCCTCTCCTCTCATACCCCCCCCCCCCCCCCCCCCCCCCCCCACACACACCCCCACACCACACCCACACCTACGAACCAACTGAAGCCACCACAGCCAACATACAGCCCGACTTACACACAATCAACACTCACCCCTCTACCGCGCCAGCATCATGGATCATTCATTGGTTTCCACGGAATAGAAAGCATATTTTTTTTCTTTTTCCCCCACGTTTTCCAAAATGGCGCCGGGGGGGGCGGAGTCTGGGACCCGGGGGTGGAAATTGGCGTGACGAAAAAGTCCCGGCGGGTGTGGCAAATCCCGTGGCAGGGATGAATTTTCCCCCCTACCTTTCCCCCCCCCCCCTCCCCCCCCCCCCCCGCCCCCTCACATAAAAACAGCTTAAACACAGGTTACGATTTGGCCAAAAGCATTTCACAGCAATAGCAATCTCTCAGTCATGATATCTATAAGCCACCGTACGCACGTGGTAGTGCTAAGAGTTAGTTATCATTTCGTTTCGCCTTTCCGCCGTGTCACAGTGATATGGACATCCCCGCGTAGTTGGCAGCCCTAGTGATACGGGCATCCCCTGTAACCCTAACCCAAACCCAAATCGCTAAGGAAAGTTATTAATTGAGTAGGCTTCTGCGAGTGTTTTAAATTTGGTCGAAAGAACAATTTTACGCAAATCGACCTCCTCAAGAAGAGCTACCTTAGCGGTCGTAAATATTTCGCTAAACTAATAATTTTACCAGACAGCGTTTTTCCATTACCCTGAGGGTGTGGAAGTGCCGCTGGGGACCTCGATCCGGCTTAGCCTAGCCCAGGCCCATGTTCTCCATTTCATAGACTATTTTCAATAAAATAGACAGAAAATAAAGAACCCTCCCTCACCAAAGTCAAGGATGGGCTAATGGCGCATTACTGCGCATTTAGGCCTTCATGTAGATTCATTCTTTACGGGGCAGTTTGCTTTTCCAATCTATTCTCAGTATTCTGTCCAAGATTGTAGGTACAAAAGTCTCCACCCTATACCAGATCAACTATTAACCATAAACTGCAAGGCCTGTATTGATAGGACTTTCTCTAATCTTCCTCTCAACGGGAGGAGGGGGGGGGAAGGGGGGAGGGGGTACTTGACCAATATGTGGGTCTCTGTTTAGGGCTACAAAATTCTTAAATACAGACCCTGTTTGGGATAACGGTAGTTTCGAAAACGAAGCACTCGAAAACGAAGACCGAAGCACGAAGCACCCTATCTCGAAAACGAAGCACCCAAAACTCGAAAACGAAGACCCCTAAATCTCGAAAACGAAGCACCCTAGATCGAAAACGAAGCACCCAAAAACTCGAAACCGGTCTGTTTTTTATAAACACGAGACCAATGCTAATAGAGCAGGAATCAAGCACGATAACGAATTCTCCTGTTCCCCACCATAGAGCCTGGTCCCAGGCTGTTATCCTAGAACAAATTCTGCCTGGATCTGATCTGATCTGATCACGCAGTGTCATAGATATCCAATATGTTAGAATGCAAAACAATCGGGTTTTTTTCTCAAAATCAGTAAAGAAGTCGGTAAAGCGTAGCGTAAGAGTAATACGCGCGAGCCTCACACTCCGTTTTCAGCCTCGTTTCAGACCTTTCGTGTTACTGCTCACGCGTACTTGAATACGCCAAAATCTGCTGACGGACAGTTTTGAAGTCTACATAAACATGTATGTGTACCGAAAAAAATGCATATTAAGGTAAGATGTATCAAGTATAGCGAGACTAATATTAAAATTAATACAGGATATCCTATCTCGAAACGTCCAGTGAAACAGTTGGTTATAAAACCCTGGGATGTATTTTATGGACCTTTGAAGGTGCGGACTCATCCGCTGCCTCCACCTGATTCGGATTGCGTCATGCAAGACGTAAAGTTGCACTTATTAAACCTTCAGTGGTTTCGAGTTTTCGTTTTCGAGATTTAGGGGTCTTCGTTTTCGAGTTTTGAGTGCTTCGTTTTCGAGTTTTGGGTGCTTCGTTTTCGAGATTTTGGGGTCTTCGTTTTTGAGATAGGGTGCTTCGTTTTCGAGATAGGGTGCTTCGTTTTCGAGATTTGGGTGCTTCGTTTTCGAGTTTTGGGTGCTTCGTGCTTCGGTCTTCGTTTTCGAGTGCTTCGTTTTCGAAACTATCTTGGGATAACACCCTCAATTTTATTACTCTGTTTAGGACAAAGGACAAAATGTCTTAAGGCCTTTTATTGGTAATTGCAATAGAGCAAATTCACGTTATAGTTATTGCTTTTGTATACTTTGAATACAAACAATTTTCATCAAGCAAATCAAATCAATGGTGCTGGCAATACCCTGTTTAAAATAAGGAAAGACTCGCTTGAAATTATATTCCCTGTTTAGGACAGAGAGGACAAAAACCATGTCCCCAATTAGCGTCAGCTCAATACATCAACACATGAATAAAGTTCATCATCATCATCATCATACCCTGTCCAGCAGCTTATCCCTGTATAGGCCATAAAGGGGTACACGCCCTGGCCTCATGCTCCAGGAAGGTCCTCTTGAGGAGGAGTGATACCTCAGGATTTTCAGCTTGAAAACCCTACCCTTCAAAGCTGTCTCAATCAGCACACAGACTCTATTGGATGTACCAGGTGTGACAAGATTTGCTTTACAGTATTTTATTACCTTTCAGTATATGAACAGTTACAATTCACATTCTGATCAATATATAATTTTTAATTGTAAATGTTACAATTTCATCATCCAATGTTAATTTTCTGGCTTCAACTTATAGACGGAAAGTTAGAGAGAAAAAAATGTAAATCAGCAACTGAAGATTTCCCCTGAAATCAGGGGCACCCAACGAGAATATAGTTCAAAACCACTTAAACATAGCATTGTTAAACGTGTTTTATTATTTAAACGGTGGATATGGGCATATTTTTATCCTCTATAAATTTTTTATCTGTTCGGATTTCCTAGCTGAAAGTTTAGTGATCCGAAAATTCTAGGTGACCTTTTAAGGGTAAAAATCCGTTAAAAATGGGCAATTATAGTAGTTTTTGGCAGGCGAGCAAGAAATTTTACAAAAAAATGTTCCGAAAATTCTAGATCTCAAATCGTCTTCCGAACACATATTTTTCCGAAAATTGTCGTTGGGTGCCCCTGTGAAATCCAATTATTGCAGCAACAACCATAAATAATGCAAAGATTATTGCAGTTACAAATGCAACTTATATAGTTGTGTTGTATTTCTTACTTCAAAGATATTTCCTAAGATACATGTATGGTGTGATCATTAAAAAAGAAGATGCTCTAGGTTGGCTGAAAACTACATGTATTTTCTCACAGTTGTTTAATTCAATGATCGTTTTTTTTCTCATTGTTTTATTGCACAACTGAGCTGATGCTTTAGTGGTAAACATTTTCTGCCATTATGCTTCTCAAACTAAATGAAAGCATTCATAGAATTAAATGCAAATAGCACTGCTGAAAATTTTTTAACAAAAAAAAGGAAGAGCTTGCTACGTCACTTGCTTATGGGAATTTCAGTCTAAAAGGAATAACTGAAATAACTGAAATGGTGGCTATTGAAAAGATGAATGTTTTCAAAAGCTGTTCTATATCCAAGAAACAAGAAGTTAAACAGTTATTACATCCTGTTTTTTAGAACAAAATAATTGATGATTGCTCTCACAAAATATTGTGAAACGACGATCATGGCTTGTGTCATTTTTTGGCACCTCCTTCAGCTGCTTGCTTCTCTGAAGCCTTTTTCTGTTTTTCTCTCATCATGGCTGCATCCCTACACATAAAAAACAATCAATCAGTTCCACCTTCAGTGGAGGTGAAAAGAACTTGGGACATAGTGGAAAAACCCTTCTAAGTAATTGTTCATAGAACTCCGCTTCTAATGACAATTTTTGGATCGGCTTTGGGTTCATTTATTCATCCCTCCACTCCCCCTGGACAATGTTGTGACCCCAAATGGACTCACTTCCACCCATTTTGCTCAAAATTCAAGGAGAGGGAGGGGTGGGGGGAGGATGCCAGTTTTACTAATATCACTCCTTTGTTGACCTCAAAACATCAGCTGGAGAGGCTAACAATAGATAGGCTGCATCACAGCAAATGACCACCCGAATATGTAACGTTCACTTTAACACATTCACATATTGAATGTGTGTCTCCCTCACAGCCATTTTTTAGATGTCACACAACACTCCCCTTTTGGGGGAGTGTTTCGTGACGTCCAAAATCTTGACTTTTACTTTTCGCTTTCTCTCCTTCCCTCTCCTTTCGCTTTTCTTTTTTTTCTTTAGCTGGGTACATGGTAGGCTTCAATAAATAATATTTAGTAGAAAAAACTTGGGAAAGCTTTTAAAATCTTAGGATTACATGAGAGGAAAGGTAAGTTGGTAGAGGAACAGGATTTTTATGAAATTTTTGTGTCAATGCTACATGGTTTTTGCCTTTTTGTCTGGCCTCCTTGACTGATTGAAAGAATTGAAAGATCTCTTCACCCTGCACAAGTTAGCGGACAAAACTGTAATGATCATTAGAACTGATGACGTCACAAGCCGTAGAAGGGAGGTGGATTGGCACAGAGCAGCTGAGGGTGGCTCAGGGGTGAACGGGTTACTGTAATACAATATGTAGCTGCAGGTTGGGATTCTGAATATGCTGAATTGTTTTGTCTCAGAATTCCTCACAATAAAATTCACAATAAAGCAAAGCAAGCTTGAAAACTATTCTACACGGTTCGTACAACTTCAGACAAACAAAATTCAAGGACTTTTCAAGGACTGTTCAAGGACAAATCATGGTTTTCAATGACTAAGATTTATGCAATAAGTCAGCACTCTTTGA